TTTGTGGATGGTATAATCATAGCCCAAAAATGGCTGTTTGCACAGCCAACAGTTTGATCCTTGGATCAAATGCAAAAAGACACACAGGTAGTAGAATAAGATTTGGAAACTTGTGCTTAGAAATCTATTAAAATCATGTGTCTAATCATGCAAAGTGTATGAATACAAAGCTACCTGATTTCAAACATGGACAGAGATCAAAGTTGAGCTTTGCTTGCTGCTGTCTTAAGACCGGCTTATGAAAAGTACACATGACCAAAATTCAGAAATAACCCTACTTTATGCATGCTTTTTGAACAAACCAAAGGCAATTTGTATCTAAGTGGTTGTGAAGGACAAGACACTAAGGACTTGAGACTAAGATCAAGAAAACCAAACAAAGATCAAAACAGTCATTTATGCAGCAGACAATGATGTTCATCCATTTTTTTTTTTGAAGTAGCCTTGTTTTCAAAAACCCATGATCAATTGATCATTTTACCAAAACTTTTCCCTTTACTCAACAAGGTTATGTACCCCAAGAACAAGATTTAGGGTCCTAAAACCTATTATGGCAATCAGACATACCGTTTAGGATAGTTGAACCAACTCTACAAGACCCAAACATCCATACTACTCATATCAGCAACTTTTGTGTTTGGGTATAGCATGGTCACAACCCAAAATGGCTGTTTGCATAGAACATGTATCCCTAGACACACATGGTAGGACAACGAATGGACAAAGATCATCCTTTGTGCTTTGTGTGGGTAGGATGTGCAATGCCGATTCCCAATGATCAACGTGCATGAAGTCAAGGCTGGCTATGGTGGAATGCATGCTTACTCAAAACAAGTTATATCTATCCAGAATTCTTAAGCAGATGGGAACAAAATGCAATTAACCACACAATGATACACATACTGATAACAAGACTTAGGAACCTAAATCATGTTATAGTAGTTACAAATTTTCATAAGGGTGGTTATCAGGCTCCACATGATCAAGATAGTTTTGTGCAAGTGCCCTGTCCAAACTGTCATAAACCAAGATGGTTTGACCCATTTAGGCTTTTGACCATTATAAGACCACATGGTGACCACCTATACAGCTGCATGATCAAGTACTCTTCCCAAACTCAAAATAGAGGCTATGAGTTCGTTCAAAGTTGGACCGTAGTCTTCTGTTTGAACAAGGGAGTACCAACTGTGTTTCACATGAAGAACGCATAGGACCATAGTCCTATTTCTGTGAAAATGATTTATGATCATTAGTGAAGAAAATTAGTGAGAGAAACCTAGAAGCTATCATTTTGAAAATGGTTGCAAGGAGTGATACCTGCCTTTATTTGACTAGGGTTAACATTCTCAAACCCCAAAATTGCATATTAGCTCAATGTGCGATTCATCTAGGGTTTCTATTTTTACTCAGAATTGAAAGCAGAACCCAAATGGAGATAGCATATGATTGAGCAAACACAGTTCTATTTGACCAAACAAGATTTTTGGGTAAACAATTTCATACCTTAATCTTGATAGACAAAGAGAATTTCGGTTGTCCATCCTTCCGTTGTTGTCACTAAATCACAGCAATGCTTTCTTCCTTCTTAATTGATTGAGTTAAAGAAAAAGATGGTTTCTTACTTTTATAGCCGAATGTGATGATGGTGATAAAACGAACGACAGTTCGTGATGGAGATGGAAAGGGAAAAGAAGGGGAATGAAAAGAGATGGCTGAATACTGGCGGTGATGGAGGATGGAGAAGGTGGGTGGTTTGTGTCGGCGATGGGAAGGGAAGGAAGGTATGATGGATGTCGCTGGTGATGGAAAAGAAATGGTGATGGACTGGAAGTGAACAGTGGCGGTGATGGTCTCTCCTTCTCGTACACAGTCAGGTTGATAGAGAAAGGGTGCCGGTTTTTGTGATGAAATGGGTGATGATCTCTCCTTCTCGTACAAAAGAAGACAGTTGATGGAGAAGGGGAGCAGTCTTGTGTACGATTATGTGGGAAAAGAGGGGGAAAACAAAAACAAATATAAAGGGACTTAAATACTTAGATATATTTTATATTATATATATATATATATATAATTTTTTTCTTTTTGCTTTTCTTTATTTTAGGGTGCAAAAAAAAATTATAACTAAATATATATCCTTATATATACATATATATTTTTATACACATATTTATATTAGTTATATATATATCTATATATAAATACTTATTAACAAACATGTACCTGTATAAATATTAGTATGATATATATTCACATATTATCTTATGTTGAAAAACTCACACGAGATATTCTTGATTTTTGGGCTCGTCCAGATAAATTTTTATTCTCTGGCCATTTACCTTGAACAAACTGTTATCCTTAGGGTTCACCAGATCGACTGCTACGTACGGGTAAACCTTGTGGATTAGAAACGGTCCTGACCACCTAGTTTTTAATTTACCTGTGAACAGTTTTAATCTGGAATTGAACAGTAAGGCTTTTTGTCCTGCTTTTAACTCTCGCTGTTGAATTCTTCTATCATGCCACTGTTTCGTCTTTTCCTTGTACAATTTGGCATTTTCATAGGACATGTTCCTATGCTCTCCCATTTCACATAACTGCATTTTTCTTTTATTCCCTGCATCATCTAGGCACATATTTAATTCCTTGACTGCCCAGTAGGCTATATGCTCAAGTTCCACCGGAAGATGACATGCTTTTCCGAAAACGAGATTGTATGGAGACATACCAATTGGAGTTTTAAATGCAGTTCTATATGCCCATAACGCGTCGTCCAGTTTAAAAGCACAGTCTTTTCTATTTGGTTTAACCACCTTTTCCAATATTCCCTTTATTTCACGGTTTGAAAGTTCTGCCAATCCATTAGTCTGTGGGTGATATGCGGTAGCAACTTTGTGGTTAATGTTGTATTTTTCAAGAACTCCGTGCAACAAATGATTCACAAAATGAGTACCCTCGTCACTAATTAGTGCTCTTGGGGTACCAAACCTTGAGAATATTTGTTTGTGGAGGAACTTAACCATTGTTTTTGCATCATTTGAAACACATGCTATTGCTTCCACCCATTTTGACATGTAGTCAATGGCGACTAAAATGTATTGGCAATTATTAGATGGAGGAAATGGTCCCATGAAATCAATTCCCCGAACATCAAATAATTCAACCTCCAAAATTCCATTTAAAGGCATTTCATTTCTTTGGGAAATTGAACCACTTCTCTGGCATTCGTCACATCTTTTGGAAAAATTATGAGCATCTTGAAAAAGTGTTGGCTAAAAGAAACCAGACTTTAATACCTTGGCTGCTGTCCTTTGTCCGCCAAAATGGCCACCATAAGGGGCCTTGTGACAATCTTCCAAGATTTTTGTTACCTCTGTTTCCGGAATGCATCTTCTCAAGATTTGATCTGCACCAATTTTAAATAAGAGAGGTTCATCCCACAGGTAAAATTTTACATCATGCAAAAATTTCTTGAGCTTAGGCCAAGTGTATTCAGAAGGTTTAATGCCGCAAACCAAATAATTGGCTATATCAGCAAACCATGGTGATTCCAATGGCTTTAGCATCAAGATTTTTTCATCCGAGAAAGTCTCTATGATGTTCTTCAAGTCGGTAGGTTGCTTCTCTAATCTGGACAGGTGATCTGCTACTTGATTTTCCACTCCCTTTCTATCTTTTATTTCAAGATCAAACTCTTGCAACAACATAATCCATCTTATCAGTCTGGGTTTTGCATCTTTTTTTGAAATCAAATATTTGATGGCAGCATGATCAGTATGTACAATGATTTTTGTTCCCATCAAATATGATCTAAATCTTTCAAAGGCAAACACCACAGCCAATAATTCTTTTTCTGTTGTTGTATAGTTCAATTGAGCGTCGTTCAAAGTTTTGCTTGCATAATAGATGGAATGGAAAATCTTTTCTTTAATTTGTCCTAAAACGGCTCCCACAGCCCAATCACTTGCATCGCACATAATTTCAAAGGGTTTACTCCAATCTGGAGTAGCAATCACGGGTGCAGTAACCARATCCTTTTTYAAAGTRTGAAATKCATTTCTACATTMCTYACTAAAATCAAACTTTTGGTCATGTTGAAGTAATGAACACAAAGGTTTTGAAATTTTTGAAAAATCTTTGATAAATCTTCTGTAAAAACCAGCGTGTCCAAGAAAACTTCGTATACCCTTTACAATGGTTGGTTCAGGCAATTTTTCAATCACTTCAAGTTTTGCCTTATCAACCTTAACTCCCCTTTTTGAAATCAGATGACCAAGAACAATACCTTCTGTGACCATAAAGTGACACTTTTTCCAATTTAAAACCAAATCAGGTGTTTCACACCTTTCAAGACTTTTTTCAAGATTTTTCAAACATTGATCCTATGATGTACCATATACAGAAAAATCATCCATAAAAATTTCCATGGAAGTTTCAAGAATGTCCGAAAAGATGGACATCATACATCTTCGAAAAGTGGCGGGAGCATTACATAGACCAAATGGCATTCTTCTGAAGGCAAAGGTACCATAAGGACATGTAAAAATGGTATTTTCTTGGTCTTCCGGGGCTATTGCAATCTGATTGTAACCTGAGTATCCGTCTAGAAAACAATAGTACTCCTTTCCAGCTAGTCTGTCTAACATCTGATCTATGAAAGGCAAAGGAAAATGATCCTTTTGAGTTGCCTTATTCAGTCTACGGTAGTCCATACAAATTCTCCAACCAGACACGACTCTTGTAGGAATGAGCTCATCTTTCTCATTTGAGATGACAGTGACACCTCCCTTTTTAGGGACATACTGTACAAGACTTACCCATGAGCTACTTGCAATTGGATAGATTATGTCAGCATCCAACCATTTTAAAATCTCTTTTTTCACAACCTCTTTCATGATTGGGTTTAATATTCTTTGAGGTTCAATGGAAGTGAAACTCTTATCTTCTAAAATGATTTTATGCTGACATATTGAAGGACTGATACCCTTTAGGTCAGAGATGGTTCATCCAATAGCCTTGGTGTGTAGTTTTAACAAGTCTACCAACTGCTCTTCTTGATGTGTTTCTAGGGTGGATGAGATAATGACAGATAATCTCCCTTCTTTTCCTAGGAATGCATACTTCAGGTGTGAGGGAAGTAACTTCAACTCTAAGTCTGGTGGTGACTCAATAGATGTGGCATGGGTCTTTTTACTCTCACTCTCTAATACCTCAAAAACAAGGGTATCTTGCAATAGGGTTATCTCACTTTCCTCTCCATGTTCTATCTCTTCAACAACTTCAGTCTTCCTTAAGTCTAACATAGATTTAACTCCTTCTTTGTGGCACAAGGATTCAATGAAACTCAAGTTAGAACACTCATCTTTTTCATCCGGGTATTTCATGGATTTGAAAACATTAAAGGTGACATCCTGATCATTCACTCTCATAGTCAATTCTCCCTTCTGAACATCAATCAAAGTCCTACCAGTKGCTAAGAATGGTCTTCCTAAGATGATTGGTGTTTCTTTATCAGCTTCAAAATCAAGAATGATGAAGTCAGTAGGAAAAATGAATTTATCTACTTGGACTAATACATCCTCAATTTTTCCTTTTGGGTGAGCTATGGATTTATCTGCTAACTGAAGGGTAATTGTGGTTGGTCTAGCTTCACCTATGCCTAAGGTATTGAACACTGACAAGGGCATGAGGTTAATGCCGGCACCTAAATCACACAAAGCCTTTCCAATTTCCTTCCCACATATTGAACAGGGAATTGTGAAACTCCCGGGATCTTTGAGTTTAGGGGGAATTTTGTTGGAAAGGAGGGCACTACAACCTTCAGTTAGGGCCACAGTCTCAAATTCGTTCAGCTTCTTTTTCTCGCTCAAAATGTGCTTGAAGAATTTTGCATAACTTGGCATTTGTTCAATAGTTTCAACCAACGGGATGTTGATATGTAGCTATTTGAACACATCAAGGAACTTCTTGAACTACAACTCCTCTTTCTAATTCCTCAACCTTTGTGGAAAAGGTATATAAGGAGGAACAGGAGCTATGACTGRTTTCTTGGAGGACTGACTAGGGGGTGCCTGGATGATGATAGGTTCACTATGAGGGACTGGTGACTCCGCTTTCTTGTTACTTTTAGAAGAAGAAGTTCCAATATCATCCTGAAATGATACCTTCTTTTTGCCTTCATTTGGAAATAACAAGGGAAAGTCTGCTTTCTCAGGAAGTGGTCCTATCTCTATTGATTTTCCCTTATCTTTTAAGGTGGGTGTGACAATATCTGAACTAGATGTTGTGAAATCCATCTCAACTTGGTCCTGGGGTTCAACAATCTTTTTCATAGGTTCACTCTCTACAAGGTTCTTTCCACTCCTTAAAGTCACTACCTTCACATGTTCTTTCATGATGGACTTTGGGATCTCTGTATCACTAGGAAGAGTACCTGCAGGTCTATTTCTTACCTCTAGTGCAAGTTGACTAATCTGTGTTTCTAGAGATCTTATGGCAGTGTTCTGATGGTTCATGGCTGCRTTGGTTTGGTTTATGAATCCTTTCAGAGTTGCTTCCAAAGAAGTAGAAGATTTGGCTTGTTGGTTAGACTTGTTTTGGAAAGATGAATGATTTGTTTATTGATGAAAGGTAATCTGGTGATGGGTTGGGGCTTGACTCTGATGATGTTGTTGAGACTGATGTGGTTGGAATTGTGAAGTCCCTTGGGGTTTGTTCATTGGTGGGTTTAGAGCAGGACTGTGCCATGAAAAATTTGGGTGTTGTCTCCACCCAGGATTGTACGTTTGAGAAAATGGTCCTGATCTATTTTGATTCCCAACATAATTGACTGATTCGGAGTTGGATGGACAATGTTCAAAGGGATGTCCTCCACCACAATACACACATTGTATTGACTCAATAGTTGGAGCATGCGCGGTGGCTATGGTTTGTGCTGCTTGACCATTTGTTAAATTTTTAATCAAATTGGTCATTGCAGTCATCTGAGCCGTTAATGTTGTAAAAGCATCTACGTCATGAACTCCCGCTGTTTTGCGTGGTACTAGTGCATGTGGGTCGGCCCAATGTCCATTGTTATTAGAAATCTTTTCAAGGATGTCATATCCATCATTATAGGTACTAGCCGTGAAAGCTCCACCTGATGTAGCATCGAGCATTTGTTTTGCAGTGAGATTTAACCCATTGTAAAATGTCTCGAGCTGTATACAGTATGGAATGCCATGGTGAGGGCATTTTCTTAATAGCTCCTTGTACCTTTCCCAAGCATCGGGAACTGCCTAATCGTCCATTTGTTTAAAAAGACAAATTTCATTTCTGGACTTAGCATTCCGAGTTGAAGGAAAATATTTTTTTAAAAACTTTTCTGCCACGCTATTCCAAGAGTCCACAGATCCTGGTTGCAAGAAATTAAACCAAGACTTTGCCCTATCCCTTAAAGAAAAAGAAAGCAATGTGAGTCTTAGAGCATCGTTAGATACTCCCGAGATAAGGAAAGTGTCTGTTATTTCCATGAATGATTTTAAGTGTGAGTGTGGATCTTCGGATGGCAAACCACTGAACTAACCGTTGGTTTGCAACATATTAAACATCACTAGTTTTAACTTGAAGTGGAGGGCTTCCATTTTTGGTTTAATTATTCCTGAATTTAACTTATCAAAAACAGGAATGGCATAGTCCATAATTCCTCCGTCTTTTGAGTTTGTCAGTCTGATTATTTTTTCAGCATCATTCAATGGTGGGGGAGTTGGTGGAAGTGGATTATCAATCATATTGGAAGAGGTTAGAGTAGATAATAAAACTCTTTGTACTCTTCGTCTTTGTCTGAAAGTTCGCTCGATATCCGGATCCAATTCAAAAATCTCCCCGTGCGGTAGCCTTGGCATACACCACACCCAAAATCAAGTAAAAAGATGGTAGAAAAATCAAGTCTTTAGATTTACTAAAAAAAAACTTTTGCCTACTCCCCGGCAGCGGCGCCAAAAACTTGTTACGCGATCTATATAGAATATAAATCTCTCAGACTGCTAATAAATGAAGACTAGTGCAAGTATACACTTATCAACCCACTATCGTCTTTTACAAGTAATAAAGTGGTAAAAATACCAAGTATCGTCCACGGGGAAAAAGGAATAAAAGTTCGTTTTAATAGTATAAATAAAGATATGATTTCAGATGGTGAATTCGAGGAAATATTTTTGGTGAGTTGATTAAACACTACTGATGTGAACAAGTTTTAAAAGAGAGCTTAGGGTGTAGGGATTCGTTAAGATGTTACGCCGATCTAAAAGTAGACAGGATGCTACAACATGGTTCTATAGCATGCTTTATAAATCACTTATCTTTACAACCAATAGCCTCTTTAAGGTACTCTCTTGAGATGTAGAATGACACACAGTCATAGATCCAACCCTCATATCTCTATGTAAGACTGGAATCCCGACATTGGCTCAAACTATTCCTTTTATAAGCTAAATGGAGCGAAAACGAGTCTCCTCGATTCTAAGTAACTCTCTCGAGCCTACTTCCATATCATTCAAGTTGACGTGTGCTTGTTGTTTTATCTCTAAATCCAACACACTTTAACACTCTTAAACAAGTGATCAACTTGTCCATGGATGATGTTTTGACAATAAAAACTTGAATGACGTAGTTGTAAAGACTTATAATTTATATATCTACAAACGGGACCGGTCTTTATCTTAACTTCACCCAACACCCAAGCTATATTTTTAGCCTAACATGCTTGAAAAATTAATTGCGTAAATAATAATGCATAAGAAAGAAATAAATTCTAGACGTAATTATAAAAACAACTAACGATACTAGAAAATGTAAGTGCAAGAATAATAATAAAGCGTAATAAGTAAAACTTAAGAGAAGAAGAGAAAGTGGAAGAAATAAATGTAACGATGAATCGTAAAAGACACTTAAACTATTTTAACTACTAATATTAATTGCATAAATTATAAAGCATAATAAGGAGAACTTAAAAGAAGAAAAGATGACAAAGGAAATATACGTAAAAAGGAATTATAAAGAAGAAAAGAGAATTATTTGCAAATATAACTTTAAACTAAGAGAATCAAACTATATCAAATGTTTACTAGGATTGTTTTCATCTCCAAATGCCTACTTCTAAAGCTAAGCCTCCCCTCCTTTATATAGTGGAGGAAGGGAGGGTAATATCCAATGGACAAGGACTTTTACCCATCTTTTTTCTACAAAACCATGGGCATAGTTAAAACCACCTAGAAGATGCCAAAAATCAGATCTTAAATTAGTCATTTGAGATCTCAAAAGTTGCAGGAGATGGGCTCTCAAAAAGGGAAGAAGTGACCCCAAAAGATTCCCGTACTAATCTCAAAAATGCCCTTGGAACAAAACGAAAAGACTCAATTTATGGAATTTGGGAAAATAAAACGGGTAAATAAAGTGAAGAAAAAGTGCAAAAGTATCAAATAAATTGATACTTATCACTCATCTCTGAGAAATTCTCTCGTGGAAAGATTGACCAGACCTTATTTCTTAGGAAAATTAAAGGTCACATCATTCTCGTCCGAATTTATGTCGATGATATTATTTTTGGTTCCACTAATCCCTCTTTATGTTTTCGTTTCGCTGAA